CAATTTTTTATCACGCCAAATCTTGCCACTTAATGGCTACAATAATTCACACTGTTTGGTAATATCACCATAAACCCGCCTGGGGAAGCACAGCCGTCCGTGTTGCGTTCGCGGCTCTCTCGATACCTGCTAGCGCGCGTGCCTCGCCCGTCTACCCCTCGATTTGACCGTTGGTGGCAGGCGGCGGCGGCGGCGTTACTAGCGCTGATCAAATTTAGTGCTTATTTTACCTTAGCCATAGTAATCAATTTTGGATTTTAATGCAGAAAAGTTCTCGTTTCATATATATATTATATATATATATATATATTATATATGATATATATATATATTGATGCAAAATTATGGTGAGCTGAAGAAATGGGAGCAAAAGACAGGAAGCCTTGAGAAACTGTGGAGAAAGTGCTTGTCCTCTTAAATTTTCACGATTGGATCGACCGAAGTTTACAGACGGATGGAAGAGCCGTTTGCACTTGGCTAAACGGGTGCGTGCAAACGATAAACATTCCACACGGCGACAGCCTTTGTCGCCAGTAGTGACGGAGTTAACGCGTCATTGGATAGGGTGCCGGCGGATACGCGTGACGCACTTGCAGGGAGGTGCTAAGCTGGCGGCCTTGGACGCGCTCTTGAAGGGATTTGCAGCAACGCAGACAGGGCCTTTGGTGTGCTGCTCGCAGTCCCGATTACGCGATCAAAGCGGATAATTAATGTAACTCTCTCCTCCGCGCTTTTGAAGGGCCTGTGCTGTGACGGACTAGTGATAGTGCGGTCTGAACGGGCTTATAAGGACAAGGAGTATTTCATACGGAAAAATGAGAGCATTTGCATTCACTGGCATCCATAAAATATAGCAATAAGATAGAAATATAGGTTATAACTGATAAAGGCCCATGAGATTACAGAATATCACAGCACAATGAATATTGCTAGCGGTTAATGCTTTCATTTAATTGAGAACGGGGCGAAGGAAGAGTTCTGCGGATATGCCTTGCAAAAAAATATTTCGGAAGAGTGACAGAGGTTAATCTAAATGTTTCTGAATTGTAATGTAATTATTAAATCCAACGTTTACATTTTCGTCATTGCTCATAAATGTGAATACATATCTGTACTTGAATAATATAAACTACTGATCGTAATTCACATATAAGATTATAATTGTTTTAATAGTTTAAAATAATGATGAATGAAAAATACGATTAGTTATAAAATCGAAACATGAAAAGATGATTTTGAAACTTTTTGCGAAGCGGAATAATCATTACAAAACAGGAGAATATTATAGCCTTTCAAAGAATGAAATGCAATATAAAAAGTGATTGCAGAAGTTACAAGGAATCACAGTGAAAACAAGAAGGAATTCACAGCCCTTTATTCAGAAAGGTTATTATTATAGAATCGCAGGAATAAAGATCTTTCCCAAATAAAATTTCAAGAGGCCGAGACGCAAGAGAACGCCAAGAGGAAACGACTAGCCAAAACCTTCGGACAAAAGAAGTTAGCGCGGCTTGAAGTCAAAATGCTAGTCAATGACATTATGCATGAAACAACTCAAGGGTTACAAATTATTTTTTTCTCGTGATCGCATCATTTAGATTGATGCGATCGGGATTGCAAGTATGCATAATTTCATGTCATGAAGAATTTACGGAATAAGGAAACTATAAGATTTCTATGTAATATCATCGTTTCCCAAAACATTAGACAGAATTATTATTGAACCATTACAAGATAGTTTACTGAGTGAAGAATTACTGGTATCTATTAATAATAAAACAAAAACGAAAAGTGAAATACAGATTAATAATTATATGTAGAATTCTCTCTTTAAGCGAATGAGAAGATATTAAACCTTTTGTGTTAGCAATGTGAGGTCATGATTAGTAGGTTAGGGGAAAGTATAGTTATTAAAATCATACGAATTGTGCTTAGTAATATCAATAACGATAAATTTATAATATTGTTTAAAGGAATATTACTATAAAAAAAAAATTCCAGATATAAAACAGAGTAAAAAATTTTATCTTGACCTATTCTAAAAAGAGAACATCAAAAAATTCTTCAAATTTCTATTATTTATTTATTATTTGTTATTATTATTATGTTTATTTATTATTAAGATGTTTTATTATTATTATATTAATGATTATATAATATTAATTTATTATTGTTATTATTATATTATTATTTTTATTATGATTATTATTTAGAAGAAGAAGAGAAATGATGCAGAGAAGATATTATGGTTCATAGCTGTTTGGTAATGCAATTTTATGAGGAATTGCAGTTTTAGGAACCTTTTTTTAATGCATTAGTAACAAAATTACATAAACGTGATAATGAGTACAGATTGAATGGCTGGTTTGTTATTTCCTCGTACCTGCATTAAACTAAATTGCCGAGCAACAGAAGAAATCTGGGTTTTGTATTGAGTATAGTTTAAGCTGTTGATGGATGATTATTGACCAATTTATAATGGAATATTCTCTAAGAAAGATGCGAGAAGAATAATTCTCCATATATACAGCGAATCATATGAATCTTGCAGTCTGTATTATACACTTGAGTACTCGTCGTCGCTACTTTCTGTAGCCAACGACTCGACGTGCAATGCGATATTAAAGTCAGAAACGAAGAAAGAGACGAAAGAAAATTCTTTATAAATCGGAACTTCCAGTGTTGTGGCCAAAATGAGTATTTCTAGATGCAGTAAAATAGCGTGGAAAGAAACGACCTCGCCAGCTATAATTGAACGTATAAGGAATTCTGCATCAAAGTGCTGCCAATTGTGTATCGTCGATTACTGCCTAGTCTCAATCCCAGCTTTGGCTCCGCCGAGACAGAACTCTCCCCCTGGTGCGGCCGGAGCTAGCATCCGCCGCCCAATCGCCGTCACGGTCTGTCCTACGCGCCCTAACCACCTCCCGCCCCGTCGGGTGCTCTCTCGCCTCACCTCGGCACATGGCCCGACGCTATATGCCCTCCGCTCATCCGTCCGCCCGCTCGGCCCGCCCCGTCGCGCCCGCTTCCCCCGCTGCCTTCGCCGCTGGCTCGCCCGCTAGCCCTCGCTCCGCCTGTCGCCCCGCCTCGCCCGCTCCGCTCCCGCCTCCGCCTCGTCCCGCCCGTGCTGCCCTCCGCCTCGCTCTCTGCTCGCCCCCCTCGGCCCCCCCCCCCTCCGCCGCCCGCCCCCCCCGATCGCCCCGCTCCGCCAGCGCGCCGCGTCTGCAAGTTTGGCGCTGAGAGCAGCTTTTAGAGGCGCCGCCGGGCATGCGTGGCGGCGGGCGCGCGCGTGGACGAAGGAGGCTTTGTTCAAAGCGCAAAGGTAGAACCATCGGCGCAGGCGGCGTGTCGGGGCGCAAGGGCGTCGCTAAGCAAACAAGGGGGAGGCGCGCGCGCACGGGGCGGGGCGGGGAGGCACGGGGCGCCGCGTGCCCGCCGACATCAATTAAGTCTGCAGCGTGCGAGAACGG